AATTGGATTCGTTCTCAAAGGGTAGAGCCGTGTTACCTTGGTCTCTGGATCCCGCATCCCAGCATGGTGTTTGGCATGTGTTAGTGTTCAACAAGTGTTTGAATGAAGAGCTGATTGTAGTATGTGGCAGTGACCGGAAATCTTGCCGTAGCCAGCCCAGCACCGGGTACTAGAGGGCAATTAGTAGATGCCTGTAGGATGGAAGAATGAATGGACACATGGGCCAAAGAAGACATGAATGGTTGTCTGGACTTGGGCCAGGCCCTGTAGCATGTCTGTCTCTGTATAGCGCCCTGCACATTCTAAGCCATGACTTCAGCCTGACTCATTGGAGCTTCAAACAGGCTCATGCTCCATGAGGCTGGCAAGACAGTGGTGATATTTTAAGTTTTTCTTTGTAAACACCATTTAACATACATAGAAGCTGGGGGCTCTGAGGGTGGGAGGTTATTTTTTATGGCCTGTCTCCCCTCACCACAATGGGAGTTGCCCGAGGGCAGGGCCCTTTCTATCATATTCATGTTTGCATTCCCATGCTTACAACAGAGCTGGCTCTCCACACATACCCAGTGAAGGTGGACAGAGCCTTCAGTTCAGCCACAAGGCTCCTACAAAAGAGCTCCATCTCACCTCAAGCCAGGAGCCGACCACTGAGAGCTGCTAAGGAGCCGCACTGCCAGCACTGTCATTCTCTCCTGACTGTGCCAGCACCAAGAGGCAGAATCTGTGCTGAGAAAAAACTGTTAAGGGCTGGGACTGAGATTTTGGGGGCTCTGGCAATAGAGAGCATGGTCTGAATGTCTGCATTGTTTCCTTGTTCAGATCATTACCTTCTGTGCTATTTTCTGCAGAGATGGGGTTAGATCCAGAGGAGAATCAGGCTTCAGACTTTTCTTTTTGTAAGAGGTCCAAAATAAAAGGATGTAAAAATGCTAGCCTGGGGCAAGCAACATCTAAAAGACTCTCTCCACAGCCGCTCACATCTGTGGGTGTGATGGGGCCCATCACTCCTGGCTAGGTGGTCGGTGATCTGTGCCTATAGAAGCAGACAGGCCCATTTAGATCCAGCTCTGTCTCTGTCCCTGCCTCCAGGCTGGAGGTGGTGGCCCAACCATAGCCAGAAAACTGGTCCCCAGGGGCAGGTGAACACGCACCCTTTCCCCTCACTGTCCTTTCCGCATGCTACTCACCAGGCGTCCTGGAGATCGGGACTGCTGCCAACCACGGTAATTCCTGTCCTTGTTTTTCCTTCCTGGAGACCAGGACCTGCCTCAGGTCCATCCATGTAGAGTTCCTCCTGTGCACTCCCTGCCATTTCCTCCCAGGCTGCTCCCTGGGGAGGAGTGAGTCACAGTCACAGTCCCTCTGCAGAGGGGAGGGCTGTCATGAGGGCTGGGGGCAGGGGCTGTCTCCTAGGGGTACAGCAAAGGGCCCTACTATTGCTTTCTTTGTCCCTTTGCTTGTGGCTCAATAAAAGCAACGCTCTGTTCTGGCCTGGCATACGGTAAGTGATGGTTCCCTGGCAGAGGAGGTGCTTTTCTCAGCTTCCTGCCCTAAGAGGGCCATGTCTTGGAGGAGCAGAACCCTCCTGTTTCTACCCCACTGTGGTGGGTCAACAATGCCCACACCAGAGAGGGCACCCCAGGAATCACTGGTGTGCCCTGGGGAGAGGTCTCACCCTGGTGCCCTGCCTGCCACCACCTGAGTCCCCTTGCCCCAGTGTCCATCCCTGAGCCCACAACCTGACCTGGGAGCCAGAGGTGATGGGCTCCAGTAGAAACTCTGCTTTTGGTTAGCTGGGTAGTCTCTGCAAGAGCCCCCCAGAGCTCCCCAGCTACTATGTATGTTAAATGTGAATTCCACAGAAAAAAAACTTTTTTTAAATGTATATTGATTTGAGAGAGGAAGGGAAAGGGAAAGAGAGATAGAAACTTCAATGATGAGCGAGAATCATTGATTGGCTGCCTCCTCCATGCCCACTACTGGGGTTGGAGCCCGCAACCCAGGCATGTGGCCTTGACTGGAATCAAACCCGGGGACACTTTATTCCGCAGGCTGATGCTTTATCCAATGAGCCAGGGCACACAGAAAATTTTAAAATATCACCACGAGCCTGTTTGGAGCTCCAATTAGCCAGGCTGAAGACATGGCTTAGAAAGTGCAGGGCGCTATGCAGAGACACACTTGTGGCTATTTTTATTTTTTAACATTGTGGCCTTGTACTTCTCTGGACAATGCATTGGTTCACCTCCCTCCCACCCTCCTTTGATTTCTCCCTTTCTCTTGGATCAATCTGCCCTGTCTCTCTCATTGCAAAAGAAAACCTTCCCTCAACTCCTTGCCCCTCTGTTCTTGTTCACAGTCAAGCTTGTCAAAAGAGGTGCCTACACATCCTCCTGCTCTCTCTCGTCTCCTTTCTTCCTAAGATCACTCTGGGTGGATTTCTGACACTGAACCTTCTTTCCTGGCACTGCCTTTATGGAGGTCACCAGTGGCCCCCATGTTGCTAAATCTATCGGGCACAATTAGAAGTCCATCTGACTTGCCCTCTGAATCCCTAACAATCCAGCTGCCATCTGCTCCTTCTTCAGTGCCTCTCTCCTGTTAGCTTCAGGGACCCCTGCTGTGTGGTTGACCTTCTCTGACCCTTCACTACTTCTGTTCCCTTTGCAGGCTTTCCTACCTCCTACATCTGACTGCTAAACACTGGAGGTCTTTAAGGTTCTGTGTTGTGTCCTTGTTTTCCTTTAAATCTTTTATTTTATTTTATTTTTTAGTACAGAAAACTTCTAACATATAAAAATAGAAAGACTAGTATAATGAACTCCCATGTGCTCATCACCCATCTTCAACAATTACCAACTTATGGCCTACACAATCATAATAGTCATTCTTCCCCTGGTTTACTTTTAGGCAAATCCCACACTTTATATTATTTTATTGTAAACATTTTAGTATATTTGTCTAAAAAACAGGACTTTTAAAAGCGTAGCCTCCATATCATTAACAATTCAAAAACTGTTTAATAATAAGTGGTTAGATGCCCAGCTGGTGTGGTTGAGCGTCGACCTGTAAACTGGGAGGTCACGGTTTGATTCCCAGTCAGGGCACATGCCCAGTTTGCGGGCTCAATTCCCAATGAGGGGCATGCAGGGGGTGGCTGGTCAATGATTCTCTGTCATCATTGATGTTTCTATCTCTCTTGCCCTCTCCCTTCTTCTCTGAAGTAAAAAATATCCTATATAATAAAAGCCTAATATGCTAAGTGTCTGGCCATCCGTTCAACCAATCAAAGCATAATATGCTAATGATATGCTAAGGCCACTCAACCACTCACTATGACGTGCACTAACCACCAGGGGACAGACGCTCCAACCAGCAGGTTAGCTTGCTGCTGGGATCTGGCCAATTGGGACTGAGCGAGATGGACTGGACACACCGTTGGAGCCCTCCTGCAGTCCCTCCCTGGCTGGCCAAACTCCTGCATCCCTCCATGGCTCTGGTTGTGCATTGGTGGGGTCCCTTGGCCTGGCCTGCGCCCTTCTTGCAATCTGGGACCCCTTGGGGGATGTCAGAGAGCCGGTTTCGGCCCGATCCCGCTCAACTCAGGAGCTGCCTCCTGGTGGTCAGTGTGCTCCCACCAGGGGAGCACCATTCAGCCAGAAGCTGGGCTCACGGCTGGCAAGTGTAGCAGCAGTGGCAGGAGCCTCTCCCACCTCTGTGGCAGCGCTAAGGATGTCCGACTGCCTGTGGGGAGCTGGCCTAAGCCATCAGTCGAACATCCCCTGAGGGCTCCTGAACTGTGAGAGGGCGCAGGCCAGGCTGAGGGGACCCTTGCCCCTAAGTGCACAAATTTCATGCATTGGGCCTCTAGTATATATGTAATAATAATATAATAACTGGTTAGGCCCTTTTTGGTTCTCTCTCCTTAGGAATCTAGTTTACATTCATGGTCTTAAGTAGCTTCCATAGGCCACTGACTCCCAGGTTTACATCTTCAATCCAGACCTTTCTTTTAGCTCCCAAATCCTATTTTTAATTCTTGACTTGACATTTCCACATGCTGGGCTCAGAAGCATCCAGATTTAATGTGTCCAGGACAGAACTCACAATTATCATTCTAACCCTCTCCTCTGAGAGACCCCATCTTGGTAAATGACATGGGCCTCTGCCCAGTTACCTTCCCAGGAAATCTGGACTTAGTCCTTCACACTTTCTTTACCCCCACCCCCTCATACAATCCATCCCAGGTCCTGTGAATTCTTCCACCAAAATATACTTGAAATATACTGACCGCCCATTTCTTTCTATCTCCACAGCCAGACTCAGCCATCACCCTCCTCTTGTGCACTGTGGAAACCTCTCTGTGGGTTTGCCTCTCACTGGCGCCCTCTGTTGACACTCAGCTTTATACACAGACCGGTCCAGGCTGGATATTCAAACATCTCTTTCCTTCCTGTTAGTAAATAATCACTGCTTCTCTGGACAATGAGCCACAGCCCACTCAGGGCTTTAACCCCATCCACCGACCGCCCAAGTAGACAGGACCTCAGAGACCTTGCTGTAGTTTGGGTCTTTGCTGGAATATTTAAAAATGCATGAGGTATTCTGATGACCTAATAACTTCAGGTACTTTCCCTAGTGAAGTTCAAGGGAAAACCCAGAGAACTCCGCTCTCATACCCTTCAACAGCCAGAATAACATATTTTAAAAACATATGGAACCCTACCTTGGAGGGGAGGGGAGAGGAACATTGGGGGTGTTGGTAATGTTCTATTCTAGATTGGGGTTGTGGTTACATAAAAATGTTCACTTAGTGAAATTCATTGGGCTGGGCACTTGCAATTATATACTGTTCTGTCTTGTATTTCAATAGAGTTTACTTAGAATATGTCACACCAAATTTCCCTGTGGCTTCTGCTCAAGAACAGGAGCCTCTTGACCTTACTTTTTCTCTTGTTCACATTCTCTCTGAAGGCTCCTGCAGACCAGTGGGCTCCCTTGCCATCCATGACCGGCTTTGCGGTGGTTACCATTAGTTACCACTAGGGGCGCCCTGCGGGACCCCGAAGAACATTTGGTCTTGGAGCAGGACTCTCTTACCCAGTTACTCTCTCTCTCCTGCCTTCACCGATCAACTCCTCCAGACTACTCAGGTAGCTGTGGATTTGTTATCTAGAGGTTAGAAGAGTTTTGGATTACTGAGTGCCAGGGTAAAGATTTAATTTCTTGCTATTCTGTACTTTCCCTCAAACCTCACAGAGGGTCTTTCCTAAAGATTCAGACCATTTTTTTTAAAAAGCCATGAAAAGATGCTCAATCTCACTGCTAATAAGGGGAAATGCAAATTAAAATCCCAGTGAGGCACCATTTCCTACCCATTAGCTTGGCAAGAATTTAAATGCCCAATCATAGCAAGTGCAAGGAAGGCTGTGGTGAGTCCAAATGCCTACAGATGCGAGTATAAATTGGTAGAACCACTTCTGAGAAAAGTGTGGCAAGATCCACAAGAGGTGAAGATGGTCCTGCCCCCTGCCCCAGGCACCCACATCTAGGTCTACACTGCAGAGGAGCAAGAGGGCCCTGTCAGCTCAAGAACCTTCTTGCAAGGTCACTTGTAACATTTAAAAAAAGGGGGGTGGGGAACAAACAGAAAATAAATTGTTAAAAAATTTTGACCTATTCATGTAGCCATTAAAATGAATGAACTATAGCCACATGCAATCAACATGGATACAAACAAAGACATCACAGCCCTTAAAAGAAAGCAACTCTGCTGACACCTTGATCTCGGACTTCCAGCCTTTAGATCTAAGAGACAATACATTGCTGTTGTTTAAATCCCCGTCTGTGGCACTTGGTTATGGCAGTTCTAGCACACGAATCCGGGGACTAATACCATATCACCACTTTCGGACTGAGGACCGGAGGCCCCTGAGAGCCATGGCTTTGCTTCAGGTCATGCAGCTACTGAGAAACGGAGCTAACTCTTGGTTTCTCTGGCTGGGTCACAGGTTAGTTTGACGCTTTATATGAGAGAGTCAGTGATTTCATGGGGGCTGGGAATAAAAACATTGCAATTTATTCTTCTATTAAAGCGTGACAGGTTGCAACAGCTTTCTGGGTGGTCTGTTCTTGAGCTTGATCTCGATGGTGTTTGGGAAAAACAATACTTTTTCTCTTATCACCCATACAGGATCATCTAACAAGCCGGATTAATGTCCTGGGACCCATCATAAAGACTGCAGCCTTCAGACACACTGTCAGCATGTTGGGTAATTATAACGAGTCTGGCATGTTTGGCTGCTTAATTTATAGCACCCATGGCATTCTGGCAGCGCCTTGGCCTTCTGATCCAGGCGTCCTTTCTGCTTTATATCCTTGGGTGTGGATGATTCTAAACCCCTTTCTCTGGGAGGGATCCCTTTGCCCCTGCCACTCTGCCAAGCCGGTTCCCACACTGTGCTGTCAGACTGCTGGTTGGAGTTTTGAACTGAGCAATGGGGAGTGTGGAGATGTGGGAAGGATAGTGGCCGCCAGTCAGGAGGTCTGAGGCACAGGTCTAGCTCCATCTCTCCATCCTTAGCTCTGTGGCCTTGGCCAAGCCATTTCCCCTTCTGGGCCCCAGTTTTCCCACAAGTAAATGGAGGAGATTGGACAGGAAGATTAACTCTTTCCTGTCTGGGAGGAGGCTGGAGACCAGCAAAGACGGTAAAAGATGCCAAGAGTGGGACTGGCTCAGCAGCTCTTTCTGGTGCTTTCCCCCCTCCCCCTCCCTTTAAATATATTTTTGTTGATTTCAGAGAGGAAGGAAGAGGGAGATCTGGAAACATCACTGATGATCGGTTGCCTCCTGCATGCCTCCTACTGGGGATCAAGCCCACAACCTGGGCATGTGCCCTGACTGGGAATTGAACTGTGACTTGATTCATAGGTTGACGCTCAACCACTGAGCCACACCAGCTGGGCATCTTTCTGGTGTTTTTAAAACTCCCATCTAAAGTGGCTTTTCTAAGCATGAGCTTACGCAGGAGGCCAGGGTCACACATCTGCCAGCTCAGCTTGGCCCTGTTATTTTGTCCCTGTTCGCCAGACCTGCTGACCGGCAGATGGGCATCTTGGGTGAAAATATAGGAAACAGGAATTAATTCTTAATTTGTACAGTTTAATTGGCAAGCATCTCTTAAAACATAAGTCCATTGTGGAGATACTTATTAGAAGACGTCTTTGACAGTGAAAACATAGAGAACCAGTGGGCAGGGGTCTCCATATTGCCTCCTCCTCTAAAACCCTATGGTCCCAGCCCTACCCTGGAGGGATGATCTCAGTGGATGGCCACCCCAGCATCTGTGACCCATCTCTGAGGTTATCAGTGACTGTGCCCCATAACGCCCCTCCCTCCCTTGGCCATGTCACATCTCCCCTCTTCAGATTATAATTTAAGGTCACCTGATATGAGAGGGTTTCCATCTACAACTTGCTGGTGGTTGTCAAGACCATCCGTGGCAACTTTTGTATATCTTCATGTCGAGAATTATTTTTGTGGATGTCTTTGTGTAAAATGTGGTGTAGCTTCCCTTTAAGATGTGAAACTCCTTGAGCATTGGGCCAGAGTTACTACAGCCCAGAGATTCTTCTAGCCCATGGCCAGAACCCCGGCCTCTGGCATGCGGTGTCAGGTATAATGAGAAAGTATCTCAGAGAGTAGATCAGTGGTGGCCACCACAGCTGTGCGGGGCAGAGTTGGAAAGCAAACCCAGAGCTGACCGGCTCTCCCAGCATGCCCTCCTCTGTAGCAGTGCTGTGCTGTACCAGCCCGCTTAACTCAGGGGGCCTGTAAGAGGTGGGCTTGGGCAGCCAGACAGGCTTTAGGCGCCTCCTAACACAATGTAACTTTAGTGGGGAAGAGAAGTGCTTTGCTAAGCTTGGAGTGAGGTCAAGACCAACTTCAGAAGCAGGTGGAGAGGTCTGGGCTTGGCTTGACACAGGTGGTCCATCGAAGATGAGTCCTGGAGGCAGACAGTACAGCATGGAGAATGATAAAGTCATAGAGACTGCTGCGATTGTCCTCTTTTTCTTTAATAATATAATTCCTGATTTTTTTTTTCCTTTTTATGTTTATGGTAGGCACTTGACTGCCCAACATAAAAACTACAGCTCCCTGTCTCTCTGACCATGTGACTAAATTCTAGCCAATGGGATGCAAGCAAAAGCAAGGAAGTGTCTTAAAGAGAAGGGATGTTCCTTTTTCTTCTCCTTTCTTTTTTTGCTACTCTGTGGAAAGCAGGCGTGATGGCTGGTGTTGGAGCAGCAGTCTTGGTCCTTGAAGTAACCTTGCAAGCTAAACTGATGGGATCACAGGATAGAAAGTATCTCTTCATAACACTGCAGTGTGTCATAGCAGCCCTCATCCACCTACCTCTGGACTTTTGTGAGAGATAGAAATAAATTTCTATTTAGTTTTAGCCACTGTTCCTATCACCAAATTCCAAATTACAGATAAGACTTATTTCTTCTATTGTTTGGTGCTGGTCTGTCACCAACACCTCTCTAACATTTGCCGAATCTCCCCTGTTTTAGCAAAGAAAGAACAGAGCTCACTCAGGCTCAGAGCCTTTGGCAGGCACCAATGTGTAACTGTAATTTATTGACATTGTTTTGTTTCTATGGCATTTATTTTTAGGTTACCATTTACTTAAGGTAAATGCTACTGCTTTTCCATTTACAAGTGGTATGAGGTCACTTTCCTTTTTAAGTAACTTACTTAAGCAAAAACAATTGAGTTGATTTAAAATACGAAGTGACTAAGAGTCCAGGTCATGTCAGCCATGGCAGGAATCAAGGAGGTGGCTAGAGGCTGATTAAAGGTTGGGAAACAAGGGTATAGATTGTGCTGCTTCAGAAAGAATTATCTAAATACCTCTTCCTCCAATATTTTATGGTTTTTATTTTTGATGATTCAAAGTATTCTTTTAATGGAGCCTCCTGATTCCTCAAGGCAGTAATTCAATAAATATTTCCATAGACCAAGTATGGTAGTTAAGGGTGTGAGCGCTGAAGCCAAACTCCCAGGGTTCAATTCTTGGCTCCTGCAATTGCTAGCTGTGTGACCTTCGTCACATGACTGCACTTCTCTTTGCTCAGCATCGCCCCCTGTAAAACAGAGTTGATGATGTTGATGGGAGGATTAAAGGACACATTGTACGTAAATATGTCTGGCATACATTAAGTATGCAATAAATAACAGCTGTTATTATCCTTATGTCTGACTTGAGCACGTCGAGAAGTCACTGTTGACAGCTTGATACTAAGTCCTTGGGAGTAGAATAACTCTGTCCCAATGCTCAAGAAGTTTCACACTTTTTTCCAGTTTTCCTGCTATGTTCTTTTTCTGTTCCAGGATCTAGTCCAGGACACCACGTTGCATTAATCTTCACATTAATTTTTACCTCAGTTACCTCCAACCTGTGACAGTTCCCCAGCCTTTCCTTATCGTTCATGATCTTAACACCCTTTAGGAGTACTGGTCTGATATTTTGTAGAATTTCCTGCAATTTGGATTAGGCTAATGCTTTCTCATTGTTAGAGTGATGTTATAGATTTTGGGGAGGAATACCAGAGGGGTGACATGTTTCTCCCCTCTTAATTTCTTTAAAATACATATGATTATTTAAAAAAATAATATTTCTTGCAGGTTATAGTATGTGTAGACTTAATATACCTGCCAAACAACTATAGCATGAAGAGTGCTGTGGATGGGGTGTTATTAGGGATAAGTGGAACTATACAACTGTAAAGTTTCTGCGTCTTATGTGAAATGGTATAATATTAACTCTGAAGAAGTAAGGGGGTATACTGTAATCCCTGGTGCAATCTCTAAGAAATAATACATATCCTTCCAGTTAAAAGGCCAATATAGATACATTAATTGGAATTCTTAAATATAGTTAAACTAGAGGCCCAGTGCATGAAATTTGTGTACTGGGGGGGCAGGGGGAGCAGAGGGGGCCCCCAGGCTGGCCTGCACACTCTAACAGTCCAGGAGCCCTTGGGGGATGTCTGACTGGTGGCTTAGGCCTGCTCCTTGCTCAGTCCCAATTGGCCAGACCCTAGCAGCAAGCTAACCTACCAGTCAGAGCATCTGCCCCTTGGTGGTTAGTGCACATCATAGCAACTGGTCGACTGGTCAACTCTCTGCCCCCTGGTGGTCAGTGTACATCATAGTGAGTGGTTGGGCGGCCTTAGCATATCATTAGCATATTATGCTTTGATTGGTTGACCAGATGACTGGACGATCAGACACTTAGCATATTAGGCTTTAATTATATAGGATAGTCCAAAGTGGAAGGAAAGGGGGAATAGAGGAACAAAGAAAACAGTGCAGACAAACAGATAAATGGTAAAATAGTCAACTTCATTACAATCCTATAATAAAAGGCTAATATGCAAATTAATTGAATGGCAGAACAACATGCACTGACCACCAGGGGGCAGACACTCAATGCAGGAGCTGTTCTCTGGTGGCCAGTGCGCTCCCACAGGGTGAACACCGCTCAGCCAGAAGCCGGGCTCACGGCTGGCAAGTGCAGTGGCAGTGGCGGGAGCCTCTTCTGCCTCCACGGCAGTGCTAAGGACCCCGGAGGGCTCCCGGACTGCCAGAGGGTGCAGGCTGGGCTGAGGCCCCCTTCCCCCCACCGCCCCTCCTCCCCCTGCAGTGCATACATGTCGTGCACCGGGTCTCTAGTCATATCAATAATTAAATGTTAATGAACTAAGCACCCAAAATAGTAATTCTTATTACCATCATTATCACTGTAAACTGCAGAAGAATAGGGTCATCCTTCTGATCTGATTCATCTTTTATAATATCACTCAACCCCTAAGCATCTAGGGTTTGGCGTTGGGTTATCTGTTCTAAAAAAGCCTTCCTTGTCTCCCTAGGAGTCAAGGTGCTCCTAAAGATCTGCCTGTCTTCTCTTTCTGTCCCTGCTGAAAGCCTTTGCTTACCCTGGATGCCTAGAGCACAGTCCTAACTATATCAGGGAAGCCCAGAATCAGTGCTTGAGAGGATGTAGTGATCCTTGAATCCATCCTGACAGATACCTCAGTTTCCCTGAATAGAGATCCCTCATATTAGGTTTTAAACAGATTTTTAAAAGTTAATTAACATGCACAATACTTTTTAAAATGATGTACCAAAAGATTTTCAGTAAAAAGTCAGCCTCCTTCCAACCTGTATTTTGGATGAATGAACACAAAGTGTTTATGTGTTCAA